GTCATCTGCAAATTTGATCAGCAGACTGTTCACCCCTTCTTCCATGTCATTTATGAAAAGATTAAACAGGATCGGCCCCAGGACAGAGCCCTGGCCGCCCCCGCTTGTCCCTGGCCGCCATCCCAATGATTCCTAGCTAATGGTTACCTTCTGCTTTTGGTCAGTCAACCATGCCCTAATCCACTGGACAGTGCTTTGGTCTATCCCAAAACTCCTCAGTTTCTCCACCAGGATATCATGGGGCACTTTGCCAAAGGCCTTGCTGAAATCCAGGGAAACCACATCCACTGCATCCCCTCCATGCAGCCACCTCGAAACCTTGTCATACAATTCCACAAAGAAGGGCAATGCCAAAGAATGTTCGAACTATTTTATTTATTTATTTAAAACATTTCGATGCTGCCCCCATCGCAACAAAGCCTCAGGGCGGCTCACAGCATAATTAAAACATATAAATAACAATTAATACAATTAAAGATTGAAAAGGCTGGTAACATCTCGGCATAAAAATTTAAAATCCTATAAATACATAATAAGTTAACAATTAAAATAAGTTTTAAATAAAACAGTCTTACCCTGGCGCCGAAAAACAAATAACGACGGTGCCACGCGGACCTCTCTGGAGAGCGCATTCCATAGGTGGGGCGCCACCACAGAGAAGGCCCCCCTCTGGGTACTCACCCTCCTAATATCATTCCCGGAGGATTCCCGGAGGAGGGCCTCTGCTGCCGATCTCAAGGGGCAGGAGGGCAAATATGGACGCAGGTGTTCCTTTAGGTAACCAGGTCCCAAGCCACTGAGGGCTTTATAGGTGATAACCAACACCTTGAATTGGGCCCAGACTTCAATGGGAAGCCAGTGAAGCTGATGGAGAACCGGGGTTATATGAGCACAACGCCCAGTCCCCGTCAGCAGCCTGGCAGCTCTATTTTGAACCAACTGAAGTATCCGGACCGTCTTCAAGGGTAGCCCCACATAGAGCGCGTTACAGAAGTCAAGGCAAGAGGTCACCAATGCATGTGTCACTGTCACGAGGCAGTCGTTCTCCAGGTAGGGACGCAGCTGATGGATCAGCCGAAGCTGAAGGAAGTCGCTCCTCGCCACAGCCATCATCTGAGCTTCTAGTGACAGCTCTGGATCGAGGAGCACTCCCAGGCTGCGAACCCTGTCCCTCAGAGGGAGTGCAACCCCATTCAGGACAAGGCCCAAGTCCCCCATCCTGAAGCCCGAGCCACCCACCAACAGGACCTCCGTCTTGTCTGGACTGAGCTTCAGTTTGTTGGCCCTCATCCAGCCCATCACCTCGGCCAGGCACTGGTTCAGTACAGCCACTGCCTCACCTGGATTGGTGGAAAACAAGAGGTAGAGCTGGGTATCATCAGCGTATGGATGATTCCACAGCCCAAATCTCCTGCTGACCTCTCCCGGTGGTTTCATGTAGATGTTAAAGAGCATGGGGGACAAAATTGAGCCCTGCGGAACCCCATGGCAAAGCTGCCATGGCGCAGAGCCACAGTCCCCCAGCACCACCTTCTGGAATCGGCCGTCTAGGTAGGAGCGGAACCACTGCAAAGCAGTGCCTCCAACTCCCAATCCCGCTGGCCTATCCAGAAGGATGCCATGGTTGATGGTATTGAAAGCTGCTGAGAGGTCCAGAGAAGCAACAGGGACGCACTCCCCCCGTCTCTCTCCCTGCACAGGTCATCGTACAGGGCGACCAAGGCAGATTCAGTACTGTACCCGGGTCTGAAGCCAGACTGAAATGGGTCCAGATAGTCAGTTTCATCCAAGAGTGCCTGGAGTTGTCCCACCACCACCCGCTCTAACACCTTGCCCAGAAACGGGATGTTGGCCACCGGTCTATAATAGGTAGCCATCTCTGGATCCAGGGATGCCTTCTTTAGGACTGGCCGGACTACCGCCTCCATTAAAGGGGCAGGTACCCGGCTGTCCCTTAGAGAGGTGTTGACAACCTCCAGGATCCAGGTCCCAATCACATCCTTGGCTTTCTTGAGTAGTCAAGATGGGCATGGGTCTAATAAGCAGGTGGTAGGATGTATTTGTCCAAGCACCTTGTCCACATCATCAGGCCGCAACAACTGAAATTCATCCATTAATTGTGGACTCGGCGGCGTCGATGGCATCTCCCCAGTAGAATCTGATTCAATAGTAGAGTCAAGCTCGTGAAGAATCTGAGCCATTTTCTCCCTGAAATGCTTGGCAAAGTCATCACAACAGGCCTTCAAGGGTGGCACGAGAGAAGCGGAGAAGAATTTCTTCTTCGCCGCCCTCACTGCCACAGCATAGGCCTGATAATGGGCTCTTAAGTGTGTTCAGTCTGACTCATCCCGTGATTTCCTCCACCTGCGCTCTAGACGTCTCCCAACCCGCTTCATCGCCCGTAATCCAGGTGTATACCAAGGGGATGAACGGGCTCTGCCAGGTGGGAGAGGACGCTTGGGAGCGATCGTGTCAATAGCCCTGGTCATTTCCCTATTCCATAGTTCAACTACCATAGTGCAATGGAACTACCGCACCATTGCACTCATTTGACATGCTAGCAAAGTTATGCTCAAAATCCTACAAGCTGGGCTCCAGCAGTATGTGGACCGAGAACTAGCAGAAGTACAGGCAGGGATTCAAAGAGGGAGAGGAACTAGAGATCAGGTTGCCAACATACGCTGGATCATGGGGAAAGCTAGGGAGTTCCAGAAAAACATCTATTTCTGCTTCATTGACTATGCTAAAGCCTTTGATTGTGTGGATCACAACTAATTGTGGCAAGTTCTTAAAGAGATGGGAGTACCAGACCATCTTATTTGTCTCTTGAGAAACCTATACCAGGGTCAAGAAGCAACAGTGAGAACTGGGCACGGAACCACTGATTGGTTCAAAATTGGGAAAGCATCAAGGCTGTATATTATCGCCCTGCCTATTCAACTTATCTGCAAAGAACATCATGCAAAAGGCTGGGCTAGGTGAATCACAAGTTGGAATTGAGATTGCTGGGAGAAATTCAAGAACCTCATAAATGCAGATGATACCACTCTCATGGCAGAAAGTGAAGAGGAACTAAAGAGCCTCTTGATGAGTGTGAAGGAGGAGAGTGAGAAAGTTGGCTTGAAACGCAACATTAAGAAAACTAAGATCATGGCATCTGGTGCATCACTTCCTGGCAAATAGATGGGGAATAAATGGAGGTAGAAACAGATTTTATTTTCCTGGGCTCCAAGATCACCGCAGATGGGGACTGCAGCCAAGAGATTAAAAGACGCTTGCTCCTGGGGAGGAAAGCTATGGCAAGTCTAGACAGCATACTAAAAAGCAGAGACATCAACCTGCCGACAAAAGTGCGTATAGTCAAGGCTACGGTTTTCCCAGTGGCGATGTATGGCTGTGAAAGCTGGACCAGAAGGAAGGCTGAGTGTCAAAGGATTGAGGCCTTTGGATTGTGGTGCTGAAGGAGACTCCTGCGAGTCCCTTGGACCGCAAGGCGATCAAACCAGTCAGTCCTAGAGGAGATCAACCCTGACTGCTCTTTAGAACGACAGATCCTGAAGCTGAAGCTCAAATGCTTTGGCCACCCAATGAGAAGGAAGGACTCCCTGGAGAAGAGCCTGATGCTGGGAAGGATTGAAGGCCAAAGGGGAAGGAAGCGGCAGAGGATGAGGTGGCTGGATTGGGTCACTGGGGCGGTGGGTGTGAGCTTGGGTGGACTCCGGGGATGGTGGAGGACAGGAGAGCCGGGAGGAGTGTTGTCCATGGGGTCGCAATGGGTCGGACATGACTTCGCAACTAGCAACAAATTGTTTAGGCTGAGGAGTGGGATGACACTGCTCTCAGACAGTAAAGTCACACAATAAGCACTATCGCTGTGGTGGTGGTGGTGGTGAATTGATTGATTGATTGATTAGATTTATAACCTACCTTTTCATCTTATAAAGAATGCAAGCTGCTGCTCTCCATCTTATCCCCACCACAACAACCCTGAGAGGTAGGCTGGGCTGAGAGGCTGTGATCGGCCCAGATTCCCCCAGTTGGCTCCATGGCTGAGCGGGGACTAGAACCCACATCACCCAAGTCCCGGACCTGCGCTCTTACCCATTATGCCACACGGGTTCTCCTGGAATGTTGGACTGGAGACTCCTCAGCCATAAAGCTCACTTGGTGACTTTGGGCCAGTTACAGATTTTCTGCCTGTCCTACCTCACATTGTCGCTGTGGAGAGGATCAAACAGAGTGGAGGATTAATATAGGTCACCTTGCAAGAGGGGAAAAAGTCAGGATACAAATGCAATATATTAATAATAATGAAACACCTTGCAAGAGGAAACAGGCAATATAATAACAACAATAACAATAATTAAACCCATTGGGTTGCTTTCAAGAAGTCGGGATACAAATGCAATATAATAATTTCCGCACTATGTAATTAGCAGGGTTTTTTTTTTTTTTTTTTTTTTTTTATAAACCGCCCAGACAGCTTGGGTTTTGGGGTGGCGTAGAAACGCAATTAATAATTCTGCCAATAATGGACCGCGGGTTCCTTGCAAGAGGAGAAAAGTGTGTGTGTGTGTGGGGGGGGGGTTCAATAGGCAACGCAGCAGCCACACGGCCAAGCCGCGGCCGGCTCCTTGCAAGGCGGGCAAGGTGGCCTGTAAGGAAAGGTCACTTAGATGCCCATCAGGCGAGGCGCAGCGCCCGGGGCCCCCTCCCGCCGGCTTCCTGCACGCTTTTTCCGGGAGGGCGGACTTGCGCGACGCTCCCTGGGCCGGGCCAGGCCGGGCCGGCCCCCTCCCTGGCCGGGCCCTGATTCAGCGGATAGGAATTTGCATCTGATTGCTATTTTGTCATCCTATGATTCGCGGCGCACGCCTTGGGCACCGCGGGAGGAGGCGGCGGCGGCGGCAGCCCGCGGGGGGAAACTTGCCAAGCCGAGCCTAGGAGAGAGGCAGCTTCCAGAGCAGCGCAATTAGAGGAGGAGGAGGAGGAGGGAGGGAGGAAGAGGAAGGAAGGAAGGAAAAGGGAAGGAGGAAAGGAAAGAAACCAGCGCGCGCACGGATCCGGGGGAGGCGCGGGCGGACTTCTGCGCTCCTTTGCAGCCTGCCGGCTCAGCTGTCGGGGGTGGGGCGCTGCGGCGACGGGGGAGAAAATGAGAGCCCCCCCAGCGCCCCCTCTGCAAGGTAACCCCCTCCCAGCAGCGCCTCTCCTTTTCCTGAACTTGCTTTGGCTGTTTTTCCTTCCTTCTTTCTTCAAATAGATGATTCCTTCTAAGGCTCGGGTGGGTCTTGGGAGTCGAGCAAGGGGGCTGTTTTCATGGGGGGAGAGGGGCTGGACGGGCAGCAGATGTCGAAAATGCTCAGCAAAAGTCCAGCGTGGGGACATGTGCTCCTTCTGAGTAGACCTGGGAAGGAACATATTACTTTCTGGGGCTCCAGACCTCTCCCCCCCCCCTCCCCCGGCCCTCCACCCTCTTCCCTCTTTTCCTTACGCTGGTCTTGGACTAACTTTTTCAAAACAGCATTTCCATTTAAAAATGCATTGGGCAAATGCGCTGCTTCGTGCATGCAATATTTTTTCCTTTGGGTGCAATTATTTGAACGCCTCCCCCACCACCCCCCAAGCAGGCCCGAGGCGCTTTCCCTATGAAGTCCCTCAATTAACTTTGGAAATGTCTGTGTACGCTTAATTGCTGGTTTTATTTTTAAAAGAAGAGTGTGAGGTTTCGTTTGGTACTGGATCATTTTTCGTTTTAAAAAGTCTGTTTGCAAAACCTTCTAAATCTCTCCCACGTTTGCATGGCTTGCTTTTTTCTCTCTGGGTTAGTAGTGCTATTTTAATTCCTGAGTTTAAAAAAATCCTACATAGACTGGATTGTTCTAGGCAATAGGGTGATTCTCACACCCAAATGGTCTCTCTCTCACTCTCTCTAATTGCTTTGGTGTATAGTTTTGTAAAAGCTGTTTATTTTATAAGAGCGTACACACACAGAGATAACATAAATATTATCTTCCTGAAGTCCAGTTTCTTTGGAAAAACAATTAACTGGTACTTGTCTTTAAATTCTATAGCTAACCACCCTAATAAGAAATGTCTTAAAGATTATGCACTGTTAACAAAAGAAGGCCTATTGTGCTGTACTGGTTTTACTTCTTAGTAAGTGTATTTAGACTAGCAGTCTAAACCAACATTTCCTACACCTCTGGTAACTGAGCGACGTTTTTGGAGGTTATTAAATTCCAGATGCACTTTGGTCTTTCAACTCCTGGCTTATTCTTGAGAAGGTGTGTTCCTGTATGAGTCTCTGTTCTTCAGGATACTTCACTGTTGAGCAGTAAGTCGGACTAACTGACCTCTGTGGCCTGTTCCAACTCTAAAACCTAACACTGCTTCTTTGGAAGGAGGCAAAGCTGGTGTGGTGACAGGGGAGCACTGGGTTGTCGCATTAGTGTAGAGCTGTGAATCGTGCAGAGAGACAGCAGATATCCTCTGCTTGCATGGTGGGATTCCAGTTTAATTATTTAACCTGTTTTTTTTTTTTTTTTTTTGTGGAAATAGCTGTGCTAAAAGAGGAACCTTCATGCCAGCCCCACAAATCGTACCCTTCCATTTTGGGTACAGTTCTTTGGCGCACGTGCCAGTCTGTTGTGTAGGATTGACCAATGCTTAAAAAAGTAAATATTTCTAAAAGCAATATTGGGGGTAAAGCTGAGATGCAAGGACAGGGTGGAGAAATGGGGTTCTCCTTTACTTTCCTTGTTTTTCAATGGTTTCTTGAACGGGAGCACATGGAGAAGTGTTTGTGGCTTTCCTCTATTACTGTGGAACTAACTCAAAAGTCTTGAGACTGTGTGTCTTCTCAGAGGTACATAACCTCTCTGCCAGTGGTCAGTAAGGCCTAGGGGTTTTTTTGGGGAGTGTCTTTGCTCCAACTGCAGCCACATTTACTGTATGTACAGAACTTTTCCTTGCCAAGAGAGAGTTGCAGGTTTTCTGTTCAGAAGGGTCCTCCGAGGCCATCTAGTCTGACCCCCTGGCTGGAGCCGGGGGTCAAACTAGATGGCCTGGGAGACCCCTTCTGACTTGTTCTGTTTCTGTGTTTATACCAGGAAATTAAAAGATGAACCCCCCCACCCCAACTGTTGAAAATTGAACTAACTGATATCTGCAAAACTTGGCTTTTTGGTTCTATTTTTTTGGGTCATGCTAAAGTGCGACAGAATGTGGCAGCTGCTCTGTGTGTGTGTGTCTTTGTGTGTGGGGGGGTAAGCACAGAGATGTGATGTCTGGGTCAGAGCATCCCTGTGGATCAGCCTTAACAATTTTATCAGTTCTTTCTTTGTTATGATAAATAAAAAGTTATAGAGGATCATCCATATCTGACCATGTGTGCACAGAGTTCTCATACCAGATTATTCTAGTCCTCGTGGCCAAAGGCAGAGTTAATACGACAAAATTCTTGAAATGACAGAGCAGAGTTCTTGAAATGACTCAAGCCAGCAAGCCAAGCCAAAAAGCTTTTTTTACTGATCCAAAGGGGAAGCAAACACTGGTCCACTCCCATTCTCTAGCCTTAACGGTGCATCTTACGAATTCCTAAGGACTGTGTTGTCCTTATTTCCTTACAACCCAGGAAGTAATTTTCCATTGTGGGGTCCCTTGCATCTCTTGCTTCTCGCAAAATATTGCAAAACATTTTAAAACGTCAGTCAAATCTGGGCTGGCTTGGCTGAAAAGACCCACCATTCCGATCCAGTAAGGCCTTTCTTATGTCACAGTCAGTCAATAGTGGACTATTGCATGCATTGCACTTTAAGTCCAGCAAGGAAGAGGTCCCTGCCCCCAGGAGCTTACAGTCTAAAATGTCAACTGTGTGGGGCTGGGTTGTGTGGGCGCACAGGGAAAAATCCAAGGAGCTTTCTGTGCTTGGGAAGCTCCACCTGGAAGCCTGTATTTGATCTTGTACACGGTGCATTGATCTTTTCAGTGGTGTGTCACACCTGCTCTTGGACTGGATAGTAAGTGCTGTACCTGGCCTTTGTTTTCCTAAATTGGCGGGCATTCTTTCCCCATGCCCTGGAAGGCTTCAAAAACCTACCTGCTTTTTTTGCTAAGCTAACAAGGGACTTTGCATAAATTGCCCTCTGCTGCCCACAAGATCATTAAAGAATTAAGGTCTCTAGCACAGAGCAGTGCTTAGAAGATGCTGCTGCTGATGCTGCTTAAGATGCCAGCTCAGCTCTTTTCTGTGCTCCCCCTCCATGTGACAGTGTGACAGCTGTCACACCTCCTTGCCTGAGGATGGTCTGCAGGTGGGACAGGAAGAAGCAATCTGAGGCTACCTGGAGAATGTTCTGCTCTTGCTCATGTCCCGCTCATCAGATGAGGGAAAAGAGGTAATGAAAATTATGCTTCCCAAACTGATGGGCCCCAAACCTCAGCTTTGGGAGTGCACCCAATTGGAAAAGCCGAGCCTTAAGTCTTAAATTTCCAAGTTTCTAGTCTATCTCTTCCAGTCTTAAACAGTAGAAATCAGTTGCTGCTGATTCTTAGCCTGGGGGAGAAAAAAAGCACTTTAGCCATGCTCCAGTGTACTCTAGTGGGAGGGCATGAGTGCACAGACCTTAGCATTATTTTTTGATTTGGAACTGCCGGATCCCCCATGCAAAGCCAGGTGCAAAAGACCAACATGCAAAATTAAAGACTACATAGAATTAATGGATGGGGTTCCTTAGAACCTGTAGGAGTCGCATCCATAAATTGGCCCCAATTCCAAAAATGCATGGTGCTTACAACCATTCTGCACTGGTCTTCATCCTAGGCCTTCTTCCTTTTCAGACATGCAATTGAGGGCAGGGGGAAGGGGATGGGGGTTTTGCATCTGTCTGAAGTGGAAATCCTTGCTAATCTATTGCAAATCAGGATAACCTGGCCTTCTGCTCAGGCTTGAACTCTGCACTTGCTCCCTGCTTCTCTCTGCCCATGCATCACACACCTGTCTCCAAACTCCCTGACTGCTGGCCACTGGTGTTGCATGGAAACCCAGCAGGGAAGGTTTGAAAGGGACGCCTTTCCAGTAAAATTTGCCGCCCTTATGCCTCTGTGGCCATTTCTTGCTGAATTCATTGATGTGGGCCTTGGGTGGTCAACACCTGTTTTAAAATCTTGCGGGAGTGAATGTGACTTGATGCTGTGCAGCATTTGTGGACCCCAGAACACCCAGGGGCTTTGAAATTTTGAAAATAAAATCCTCATGGAACCTTCTCGGACATAGCAGGCTGGTTAAAGATGGAGACATTCCTAGTCATGTTTGGTGGTAGTTTTTCTTGCCTGTAAGTATGTTTTGTAACATCATGTTCGTTGTTGGGTGATGTTTGGGGTATGAATGATAAGAGGAGAGCTGATAGATGATGAGTTGGAACTATTCAAGGTTGGCTGTGTCACAATCCTAAATCGGTTTAGACTGGGAAAAATGCCAGCAAATTGCATTGCCACAGGTTGGAATACATTTTAGGCCTTTTCCTTCTGTCCAAAATGAAATAGGATAGCCCCCAAGAATGACACCATAGGGTTCAGATATGGACAGAAGGTCGAGCTCCTGATGGCTGGGACTACAGTTCCCAGAAGCCTCGGCAACATGGCCAGTGGTCAGGAATGCGGGGATTTTAGCCTAATTGGAAGATCTCCCTTATGCTTACCCTGTGTTTTTAAATTCAGATAATTACTCCTATTATTCCATCCATCCGCCTCTCTGTCATAGCTAATTTATTTGGTTAATTGTAACGTATCTTTCCCCCACACTTCAGAAGGTTCTTCTCCTTTGTTTTTGGTTGGTGTACTCAAAATAATGCACCATCCATCAAACAGTACGATGATATTGAAACTACATGATGAATTTTAACAAAGGCAAAGAGAACAAAAGCTTTGTTGATCAAATTGATTTGTGCATCAGAGCCATTGTTGGGAGAGTTAAACTATTCATGCGACTTTTCAGTTTGAAGATGTCTAAGAAATGTGAAATTTTGCGTTAGCCCATTCAGGCATTGAAGCAGGCCTCCTTTGTTCAGGAGTTAGGCCTGACCTAGGTGAACTGGCTCAGGTAATAAGGAACTCCGGACTGTACCTGGTTGGTACTACTTTGTAGTAGTCCAGTCTACTTTCTGGACTTGGCTCTGGCTAGGAAGACAGATCAAGCCTGCAGAGGCTCAAGAATTGCTTGCGGGCCATCCCTGGCCCCAAAATGTTCTTCCACAAAGTGTGCAAGGCCACAAATCACAGGTGTGAAGCAGAACTGCAGTGAGGTGTGATCTTTGTGGACTCGCTTCCTGCTGGGCACGCCCGGAAAGACTCAGTGGACTCAGGGCAGGGAGAAAGTGGGGCTAGCCCAGAGCCAGGCTGAGGAAACGGGCAAATCCCCAACCCCAACCCAGATTCTTCTCAGACTTGCTAGTGTGGGCCCGTGTCCATTCCTTTCTGTGGGCCATGTCCAGATCATGGGTGTTGGGTGCAGTGTTTAACTTCAAGGCCTCGGCATCGCACTGGGATGATTATTTTTATATCGTGCTTGTAGCCTGCCTTTTCTCCTCCTGTAAGGAACCCAAGCCAGCGTCCATGGTCCTCTTCCACACCGTTTTATCCTTTTACAACCACCCTGTGAGGTAGGCTAGGCTGGGAGGGAGCAACTGGCCAGTGACTTTCATGGCCAAGTGCGACTGGAACCTGGATCACCCAGGTCCCCAGTCCAAAGCTTTCAGGACCCACTTCCCGCTGAGATTCCACAAAGGCACAAGGGTTCCATGGCAGTTGAGAAAAGGTGATGGTCAACCTGTCCTTCTTCGGAGAGTCAGGCCAGGTAAACCAAATCCTTTGCTCCTTGAGGGGGTAGCCGGTGGCATGAGGGCTTGCTTTGGAAGGATATTGTATATTGGATTTTACGGCTGGTCTCTCCTGAGTCATATGTCAGCCATCTGGGGGCATTTATAGGCCCCTGTTTCTGTAGGAAGCTGCATGTCATGAGCGGAGCCGGGGGTCAGACTAGATGTCCCGGGAGACCCCTTCTGACTCGCGCTGTTTCTATGTTTCTTCCTTGTATTCAGACAAGGGATGGCTTGGTAGGACCAGTTCTCCTTGGCAGTCATTCTCCAAGGTGGGAGATTTCCCGATGCTTGGGGTTGAACTGAGGGGCTCTGCCCTGTGGCCCTTCCGCATCCTGTAGTTGGGATGAATTCCTTAAAAAGCACTATATGTACATTCCCCATGCTCCTCTCCTAGATCCGCTCCCATGAACGCCATTGAAATGTGCTCCAAAATGATAAAAGAGCTAATGCAGGAATCGTCTATCAGGGCCATTGTGCCAAGATGGTGAAACATCCGCTCTTGAAACTTGGCTGCTTTCTATAGGGATCTTTTGAGTGCACATGTCATAGATCTTTATCTTTTTAAATAAATTTAATGAATTAATTTCTGATTATGTATCCATGTAGTCTATGTCTGCTTCAGGCTGTGGAAGCCAACTTTGATAACCGGCAGCCCAAACAATTCAGAGCCACAGATGAGTTGGGCCAGGGCTGTTTGAACCTGTGCAAAGCCAGCTCTGTTCACGGGTAATTAATGAGGCGTGAGATTCCCTTTTCGCACTTCTTCGCACTCTGGTTTCTAGCACTCTGCTTGGTAGAGAAGCATTGCAGTCTGCTTATGACTTGTCCAATTTTGTCAGTTAAAATAGTGTGTATGGTGGGAGTGTAGTGAAATGAACGTGCTTGGATGAGATCGCGTGGTGTTAGGGGCAGGTCGTAGTGCCCGGCCACGGAGAGCTTAATTTCTGGCTATTTTCAGCCCTGTATGGTGTGCATTTGCATTGCAGAAGGCTTTTTCAGAATTCTTCCCAGGGGAAATGTCGCCCTTTCTGAGGTTGCTCAGCAGATTTGGTTCCATATTTTCCATACAAAAACCCCTGTTTGGGTTGCCTGCGCTGAGGAAAAAGTTGACCCGGGGGAACAGAAAGCTCATGAGAAAATAGTTGGTTCTTGGTTTTTCGTCTTCACTGTCCCCACAGGCAGACAAGTGTTGGACTGGGACTCAGAGGATCTGGGTTCGAGTCCCCGCTCAGCCATGGAGCCAACTGGGTGACTCTGGGCCAGTCACAGACTCTCAGCCCAGCCTACCTCACAGGGTTGTTGTAAGGAGAGGAGCAAGAGGATTGCATAAGCCGCCTTGGGTTCCATGCAGGGGAAAAGGTGGGATATAAATGTAATAGAAATGAAATAGTAGAGGCATACAGGAACTAGTGGGGTCATAAGAATTCTTGAGGTCTGGTAACTTGGTGTGGAGAGCTGGTCCTGCTAGCTGGACCAGTCACTGACACTAAAGTTGCTTGCATGAATATGGCATTTGTTGTTTAGAGGAAGGGAGGGAGGACAATTTTAAACCATGGCTTGAGCCTTACAACACAGTTTTATTCTTTCCTTCCTGCCCCTCCAGAAAGCTTCCTTTTGTAAAATATTCTTCTGTTTGTCTGGAAGCTGCTAAATCTGTGATGTCTTGCCTGTTTAGGATTAATGAGGCTTATTCTGGGTAGAATGTGTCTCCTGTCATCACCCAATCACCAGCTTCAAGCTTCTAGTCCAAGTGGTTTCTTTCTGGTATGAGTAACCCCTTTACCATCTGCTCCTTACTCACCTTTTCCCCTCTGCTCCACTTCATGGCTGTGCTCCTCCTCCAAACAGTCCTTCTCTAGGGCAAGGACTGCTCCTGAGAAATGAGGAAACCCAACCTTTTGCAATTCAGGTTTCTAGTCCTCATTGTGCTAATGCGTGCTGCTGCGTTTTGTTTCTCTGCGACAGCCTTTTCATTGACACCTAGATGAAGGAGAGGAGAAGGACAACCTGCATCACTCAGCTCCCGACTTCAGCTCCCTTGGATGGAACGGCGCTTGGCAGAAGCACTGGATTGGGCCGCGTTTCCGCTTCCAGGTGGCACAACGAGGACTGACTCCCTTTCCCTCGCTGCTGTGTGAAAACCCCATTCTGGTTTCTGTGGCTTTTCCGTGGGCTCGCCCAGCTCTGCCTTTAGAGCTCTCCGCATCCGTGGACTGACTGGGGGCACGCGCCGGTCCTCCGGGTCCCTTCACCCGCTTCCCCAAACTGCTGGGGCAGAGGGACCCCCGCTCGGCATCCCTCACGGCGTTGACCCCGCCCAGCCGGTGCCCCACGGCCCCTCCGCCTCCCAGGCAGCAGGCGGCTCCCTCCCCTTCGGAGCAGCACACGGCCCCCGAGGTCCGGGCGGCCTCTGCCTGGGTGCTGCCCCCTGCAGGCAGGGCCATGAAGCTGCAGGCGGTGATGGAGAACTTGCAGCGCCAGCAGCGTGCCCGCCTGCAGCAGGAGAGGGAGGCGCCGCCGCCGCCGCCATCCCTGCTGCCCCCTGCGCCTAGCCAGACCGCTGCCCTGCTGGCCCCCGGGGCCCCGACCTTGCCCCGGGGCCCCAGCCAGAATCCTCTCTCTGTGGAGGAGATGGGGGACACAGAGCCAGCTGGAATCCAGAGGGCCCAGATGGCCGCACTGGCAGCCATGCGGGCCGCAGCCGCAGGCCTCGGCCAGTCCACCAGCCCGGCAGCGTCGTCGGAGGAGAGCCATTCCCAGGAGGAGCAGGAGGAGGAGGAGGAGGAGGAGGAGGAAGAACCCAGAGGTGGTGGTGAGGAGGAGGAGGAGGAGGAAGAGGAAGACGGTCATTACCTTCAGGAAGGAGGCTCCGAGGAAGAGGAGATGTAAGTGCTAGCACGAGCCCCTCGGTGAGAAAATCGGCTGGCTGGAGAGGGGAAATGGTGCTGTGTGACCTTTACCTCTTTGGATGCAGAGTGGTAAAAAATGTCCTGAATGAACTGCCGCCGGGTCACCCGATTTTGCGGCGAAAGAGAGCATTTTGGCCTTAATCTGTTCCGTTGGAGCAATGATTCACAAGAGCCCATGTAGCGTGATGGTTAGAATATAGGACTGGCATCCAAAGTCCCTACCTTGCCAGGAAGCCCACCAGGTGACTTTCGGCCAGCCCCTGGCTCTCAGCCTCACCTACCTTACAGGGTTGTTGTTGAGAGGATAGAGTGGAGAGGAGGAGAATTGTGTCAGCTGCCTGGCGTTCCTAGAAAGGTACGAAGGTGGAGTATAAATATAATAAATTAAATGCTTCTTTGGCAAGAAAGAGGCATGAACTGGGTTATATACTCTGGGTCTCCTCCTTTTGAAACAAGTTCAGGCAAGGAAAGGGAAGAGGTACCGCCTTGAGACAGAACATTTTATAGAATTTATAGAATAAATTTCTCGCTTGAACTTAATGAGAAAGGAAAGGTGATTAGTGGTGGGGGTAGGGAATCCCTGGAAAAATTCCTCTTCTGCGGACGACCCGCATGCTGGTCTCCCCGTTTGCCGGCTTCTGGGCCCCTCATGTTGGGGACAGAAGGCAATAAAAATCACCGCTCCTGAGGCAGAACCAGTCTGGCTAGTTCTTAATGCCTCAAACTTTTGATTGAGTTCCTGATCCTACTTTAAGAATTTGCAGGTTATTTATTTATTTGTTATTTAAAGGTTTTATATGCCCTCCCATTACTAAAAGTCTCTGGACGGCTTACAAAGAACAAAACACCAAAGAACAAAACAAACCATAACAACAGCAACACACAACATTTAAAAGGGTGTGAGGGCCAGGCGTGTGTAGTTCTGAGCTACAAAATTCTGAGGCGAGTGTTGCCTCTTTGGTTTGTTGGTGGTTCCGGAGACCACTCTTTGCAGGGCCCCTTGTATGTGACGCGCCCACCAAGGATGCGTCTTGCAGTGTCTCAGTAGGGCAGCAGCTCTATATGTACTTACTCAGGAGTAAGTTCCAGTAAGGTTTAAGGGCTCCGCATCGAGTCTTTTGTCCCAGACGGAACCAAAAAGGCTTACTTATTTTCTAAACTGAAAATTTGTGTCTGTTAGCAAGAGAAGCTGCATAGAACTTCCAGGAACCAGTTTCATTGCAAGTGAGCTTGTGCTGGTAACCAGATTTAACCAAGACAGCCTCCCCCAATGCCATGTTGGCTGGGAATGATGGGAATTGCAATCCAGCACCTCCAGAGGGCTCCCCATGTAGGAAAGGCTGAGCTAATGAGGGCTGTTATTCTTTGAGGATTTAACATACCCAGGGAATACTTTGGAGTTAAGGTAGTTTAACAGTATTTCTATGTTCGGCGGGGGGGGGGGGCATTCATTTACTGTCAAGGCAGGATTTGAATACAGGGCTGCTCAACTTTAAGCTAGAAATGGAGAATCGTTGTGGCTGCAGCCCAAGCATCGCAGCGTTCTTGCGTGCAGTCAGGTGAAGTTGACCGATGCAAATGGTCTCGAGGCTTTCATATCCCTGGAAAGATGTTCTGTATGCAAAGCTTGGAAGGAGAGGACTGAGTCCTGAAGTGTTTGGGTCCCTGATTTGTTTTCCTTTGCAGAAGCCACAAACAGCCCCTCTCTTTGCCCTAGAGTCAGAGGGAAAGTCTGTCTGCTGAGGTCAACCTTCTTGCCAGGCTGGAAGGGAATTCTGGGGGCTGGAAGAAGATCCACAGCCCGTTCCACTCTGGAATGCAGCTTGGCCCTGGGTGGACGGCCCCGGGGGAGAGTGGGACACGTTCCCAAGTGGTTACACATGCTTGAAGCAGAGAACCGGGAAAGCACCAGGGGGAACGCTGCATGTCCAAAGACCTTTTGCTGTGTGTAGGGTGGCCATGAACAAGCAGATGCCAACATCTGTTGGATCTATAAAAAGCCACTTCAACCCTTGACGTTGGAGTGAGTTGCAGTGCGTGAATTACAGAATACCTTGGCTGGCTTGAGAAGGCCCCTGGCAGTTGGATGGAAATTGGGGGAACCGGTTAGATTTGAAGGGGCAAGGATCTTGTGGATCTTCTTGAGGTCTTTCCACCTTTCCCCTCTGTGGCAGAGGGATTAACCCTTCTGTCTTTCGGGTAGGTTGGACTTCAGGTGTGCCTGAGGATCCTTGTTCCTCTCTCCTCTTCAGGAAAGGGAAATGGAGCGAGGACTTCGAAGAAGACATGGGCGAGGAGGAGGAGGAGGAGGAAGATTACGAAGAGGACGAGGAAATGGCTGAGGAAGCGCCAGGTTCTGGAGAGGCAGCCAGGTCGAGCCCGGGTCCCCAGCTCCTTCGGAAGCAGCCCCCCTTGCCACAGTACAGAGGGGAGCCTTCCAGGATGCTGGGGGGGCATGAGCGCTTCTCTTCCAGCGTCACCCAGCCAGGCCTGCTGCAGGTGCATCCCCAGGGCCTGGACCACGGGGACTGGACCTATGAGGAGCAATTCAAACAGGTACATCGCCGCAAAATGTCTTTGCTGGTTGGCTTCCGCGGGTGCTTGTGGCGCGTTCCAGTCCAGGGGATGCTGTCCTGATTAAATCGGTGCTAGATGTGGGCAAATGACCCCTTTAATGCCAGCCTGGATGCGTTGAATGGAATCTCCCATGAGCCTTCGCCAGCGCAACTGATTCTGCTCTCCGGAGATGGAGAATCCGCAGTCCGCATTCCTGTTGCGCAGTTGTGTCCACTGACTTGTATTTTTAAAGCTGCTTGTGTTACTCTTTTCAGCGGGGGGTGGGGGGGTTACAGTGCTCTGGTCACCACCCCACCTAACCCCACCCTATCGGTCCAGGTTGCATTAGGCGTTGCTTTTCAGATGATCTTTCCAACTGACGAGGGCTAGAACCGCGTTTCCATCTTGTTCTTCACGTGGATGTAGCAGCGTTTGCATCTTGATTCCCTGCACCGCAGTCTGAGGAAGCCCAACAAACTTTGGTGGTGAAGCTACCTGTTGGACTGCTCGGTGCTGTTCAAATGGTGCATCTTTGCAAGATAATCCTAACTAAAGCTCTTTCCTGGGTGTTGTATCAGTGAGATGTGACATTTAAAAGGATGTTTTGCTCACCGGGTAGATAACTCTTCCAAGGGCATACAAGGGGGAAGCTCTGGCCAGCTGGCCTTTTGCTCAAAGCTGGGGGGGGCTAAGCTGGGAGCAGAGCCAGACCTCGTCATCCAAATGGCCAGTGTCTGTCTGTCTGTTTGCCGCGTGTTCTGAGCCTTTCCTAGCAGATTTAGGCGCTATTAATAGATGTAAACATAGCAATGCACTGATTTTCAGGTGTATGTTTGTTTGGAGATGTGCAGCTGGATGAGTGGGGGAGGGGAAGCTCGCACATGGGGAGTGATGGCTTCTGAAACAAGGCGTGGGGTCAAAGAATGCTGTTGGATCGTTTCCTTTTACATGCATCCTACTAGAACTTGGTGTCATGCCAGTGAATGAATGGGCAAAAGGTTCAGACTGGCCCAAGGACGGCTTTCTTCTTGGAACTCACCTGGCAAAAGGTGAGACAGCTCTGCAGCAACAGCTTTAGCGTTGCCTAGGTGAGCTTGTGGGGGAACCCACCGTAGAGCAGAGCCCAGAGGTGCTGGGCCAGTGTGCTGGGGGGGTTGCTTTCAGGTGTGTTGAACTACTCCTGTTCCTAGAGAGCAGTGGGCTGGGCTTGTGGCTGGATGTGGCAAGGATGCAGATACTGGAGGTGGTTGATTCGAAGGCTCATCTTGTTCTGCTGTTTTGGGGTCTCACCATTCTGTGGCTTAATTTCCCAAGGGGTGAGCCATTAGCTCAGTGTACCAGCCTGGGCAGCAAACACACTCTGCACATGCTCAGAAGTGCTGCTTGCGTGGTCTGAGGCAGGGACGGAGGAAGGTGGACAGGTGTGTGATTTGAGGCCGCTGGGCCAGACTTCCTGCCTCTGGGTGGTTTAGCAACAGCAAGAACAAAACGACTTTTCCCCTACTCGATTACGCCACGGCAATGACGAACGTTTGGAGAGACCAGCAAGGGGTGGGGTGTCCAAAACGAGGAGTGCAGCTCAGTTCGTACCTCTGGGGTAACTCTTTTGTTTCTGGCTCAGAGTTTGAGGAAGAAAATGGAGTCAATTCGGCAAGCCTGAATTCTGCCCAGCCCCGTTCTGGGGGGCAGAAGGGTTTTCTTTAAAAAAAACAAAAAACAAACGGAGAGAGTCCAAATTTTTCCATTTGAAATCCAGCAATGTCAAAGTCCGCAAAAGAAGCTTATTAGACTGAAAATATTTTTCCCCGGGCAAAACCGACCAGTGTCAGCCAGGATGCTGCAATAAAACCCCTGCTATTTAGAACAAACTTGTTCTGGCGTTGGTTCTGTGATGCGCTTTAATTAGATCAGAAACGATTTGAGGGGGGAGGGATGGATCATAGAGTTCTCAGAAAATAAACTTGCTGATTCTCAACAGCAAACTTTGTCTCTGAAACAGAAGCAAGCTGTCAGCGATGGGTTTGGGTTCAGCCTGGACACGTGGCGGGGGCCCCTGGTATTTTGGGTGTGAGATAAGAGGGGAAGTGGTATGTGTAATTTCTTCTCTCTCTCTCTCTCTCTCTCTCTTTTGTGCTGTGCCATTAATTTTCCTGGTTAAAAAATTAGTTTTAGGCTAAGTTTCCTGGTTTGTGCTGTGCCAATTAATTTTCCTGGTTAAAAAATTAGTTTCAGGCTAAGTTTCCTGGTTTGTGCTGTGCCAATTAATTTTCCTGGTTAAACAATTAGTTTTAGGCTAAGTTTCCTGGTTTGTGCTGTGCCAATTAATTTTCCTGGTTAAAAAATTAGTTTTAGGCAGCTCTCATTGTTTTATAAAAGTAGGCACTGAGAATTATAATGGGCAAGCTTACACGGAGAAGGACAATGCCAAACGGTATCTTAGAAGGATGTTTGTGAGCATGAGAATGAGTTCTTTTAGGAAGGGTTAAGCCCAACAGCTGTTGCTAGATGCATTTTCTTCAGTCGTGATGTTTTCCTGTTTTTGAGTGGCGCTCTTATTTCATCGAGCAAAGCCTGATTCCTTTGCAGGGAACGCTTGCAAATAATTGCCCAAGCCTGCTCTTTTTTGCTCTGCCTGTCAGCTTCTGAAAGAGTTCTGTGTGATACAGAAGTTTGCGTTCCTTTGCTCCAGATGTCATGCTCTGTTTAGAGTTACCAAGGCTAAATTCTCGTGTCGAAAATGAAGCGCAACTTTCTTCTGCATCATTCTTCTCTGTCTTTCTCTCCCTGGTCTGGCATTATCTTCTGATACACACCTTTTGCAGGGGGAGATAACTCTGAGAGATGTTTTACAGATGTTCTCTGTCACGCCTCCTCTGGGTAGGGGAATCAGTCCACAGGATCTGTGCACAAGATGCCCATCACTGTGCGGATACACATTAAACCTTTCTTTGAACTCCAGGGCTGCAGGGCACCGACCACGGGCCAAAGAAAGGGAAGGCACGAATCTGAAAGCACCAGCTTCCCGCACCCAGAAACCTGTTTTAAAAGCCTACCCTCCTCACTTTCTGACAACCCCCCTGCCTTTCCGGCCGTCTCCTTTCCGGCTGCCCTGTTTGATCAGCTCAGACGGGGTACTGAGTCTGAAAAACTTTAAAGCTAATAGAAGGAAATGGCCCTTTGCACCCCAGCCCCCGCAGAGGCATAGGTGCCTTTGAAGTACGAGTTGTAAATACGCTGGGAATTTAGAGGGGAGGGGGGTTGATGGGGAAATGCCCCCTGCTCCTTTCTGTCCAAATAGCAGCAGATGGAATCCAGATGGAGAGAAGGGGGTGGCTTTTGCCATGACGGACTAGCAAAAATATCTCAGCCTTTTCCAGGGGTTCCAGAAGGAGCCTCTGGGGTCTTTTGCTGTATCTGTCCATCTCTTTCCCCTCCAGAATCTGCATTTTGGAATCTCATGGGTGTTTCAGATTCTCTTGTCCCTGCTTAGGAATAGTGCAGAGGATGCTGCAGTTGTTCCTGGGGAAAGCAGGTTTTTACTTATCATTTCTATTCAGGGAGGCCGCCAGAAGGCCGCCTTTGAAAGCATCATAGAATCAGAGAGCTGGAAGGGGGCAGTGGCAGTGGCTTTGCCCCCCCACCCCCCTTTTTGCATGACCCTGAATATTTGCTTTGCAATGCAGGCTGAAAGAGGTGCTTCTCCAAAAGTCTGGGGGTTCTCGGAATGAAGTTTTGCCCGGCCTCTGCCTTTGGTGGGACCCAGGTCAGTGCTTTCCCTCCTGCGCAGAGAGCTTTCCCATTGCATCCCTCTGAGGGCTGTTGGTGCTTGGCTGGTAGAGAACCACAGTCACTTCTGCCTTTGGATAAGGCAGACTCACCCACCCTCGAACAAATCTGTCTGTTGCCTCTCTGCATGAGTTACTGCTCCAGGTTTTCCACAGAGTCCTGCAGGCCCTTTGAAATGAACCTCCCAGTGTAAAAAAAAGTCATCTCTTCCTTTTTTACATTATCTAGACAGTGAGGTGGCAGAGAAGAACAGATAACCGGGGAGTGGCAGGCAGAGGGCCCGATAATGAACACACCACATGCTTCAGCTCCTTGTGGGGGTGTTTGTGGTTAGCCTGTTGCATGTTGGAGGGAGTGGTCTGCCTGGAATATGAGGGAGATCCCCTAAACCCACAAGGCCTGTATTTAGATGCCGTTTCCTTTGCAAAATTCAAAGATCTTTTGCATGGAAACTCATGCTGGGAAAATGTTATGGGCAGGAGCTTGGCAGAGCTGAGAGTGTCTTAATTCCTTCTGAGTTCCTGCTAGGATGGGTAGAAGAGCTACCCTGTTTGCATCCCGTCCCTGAGCCGCAGGTGATGTTGCTTCTTTGGCGTCCTTTTACTTGCATCTGTGGCAGTCCCATTCTCACAGTTTCCTGGAATTCTTGCCCCATTTCCTTGGGCCCCTTCCTCAACACTTCTGCCCCATTCTTGCCTTGGAGAACTCAAGCTTTTCTGTTCCCAAGTTCCATCGCCGTTCCGAAAAACAGGCTGGTTTTGGTCCCGTTTGCCCATGCTCCTAAAGGATTCCCTGGAGCTTTGCACCAGACATTTGTCCCTGTCGCAGAAACTCGCCTGGTGCCTAGAAAGGGGTTCGAACCACAGTGGGCCGTGATCAAAGTTCAGGGTGCAGAACTCTCCTCCGGATGTGGCGAGCCCGTGATCGTGCAGTCAGGAAACACCACGCGGCGCTCTGGAAGCCCGGGCAAAGGAGTCGCGGGTGATTCTGCCAAGCCCTCCTGCCTGGGACAGCCCCGTCTCATGTCTCCGGTTCACCCGTCTTGTTTACATTCTTGTGTTCCCTTTTTCCCAGCATCTGTTCGCCAAACCCGCAGCCAATCAGCTGGGCTGCAGCAGCATTCAGAGTGAGGAAAAAAGCTCTCCTGGAGGGGAGCCAGCCGGCGCGCCCTGCCAGATGCTTAACCGAGCAAACCCCGGGCAGGGATCCAAAGG